TTAAGATATTATTCGTTCCTATCTACTTTTTTCTCCAAAATAAGAAGAACAAACAAAACGGAAAAAATAAAAATAAAAAATTCGGTGAAGTGTATGGATTTTATTTTGCTAAAAAGTGCTTCCTAATCTGTTGTTAATGAAACATCTTTTTTAATATGAAAGATATGAGAGGTATCTTAATGTGCTTTTATCTTCTTTTTCTTCCTTTTATGTTGAGAGAACATTTTGGCACACCAACCAAAACCATCAGCTTATTGTTATTTTCCCACACCGAGAAACAAATAGATTAATTAGAGTTCAAAACAATTAGCTGACTAAAGTAAATTGCCGAGCCTGGTAACGTGGGCTTGTAACCAAGTGGGGCATTAAAGTGGTTGGATGGTGATAATGGACTTGGTAGATGTGAAGTCCGTTGGACCTCTCTACTCTCGGCGAAATTGTGCACGTCACAAGTCTATATGAGTTGTTAGCATTACAAAAAGCTCCAGGGGCCCCGAGGCTGTCGGACCTAAACTGGTGCCTGCATCTAATGGAGATGAATCATCGAAAATAATGTCATTATTATAACATGAATGGTCATTGGTCACGTACCTATTGTCAGTGGCGGAGGCAGGATCTCTACGAAGGGGGTTCAAAATTCTTTTTTTGTAACTAGCGGGAATTGAACCCATGACCTTATGTAGATTTTGAACACCCTTGACCACTAAACTACACTTTTAAATTGTGTTAAGGGTGTTCAAAACTTAATATATAGAGGTAAAACACATATTTTGCCTTATATATACAGTGTAATTTTTCGGCGAAGGGTGTTCGGGTGAACACCCTTGCGCCCCCTTAAATCCGCCCCTGCCTATTGTACGCCAAAATATTTTGGCATTGTGATTGTTAAAAGACAACGGTAATGCAAGAAACAGACCTTGCATATAATTTTGACCATAACCATAATGGTATAACTTTCTCTTTAAAAGAGATAATCACCATATAGGTGTTGATAAATATGTGGTACTACAAAATTAATTGAGAACTCTGCAAGAGTCAATTATACTATTTTGGAGAAACACAATTAATTACCAATAAGGTATTGTGTTGTAGTAAGTCTCAAAGAAACTTATTCAGTTTCCAAAGTATACGCGAAAGCGGTTGATTATGTTGAGACTATAAATAAAGAAAAGATTTAATATCTTCTATTGCTACAACTTGTAGCGGGGTAATATGTATGTGAAAAGCTACCCGCTTTATTCTCCAATTTGTACTACATAAACAAAAGAATACCACAATGAAGTGGATATTTATTGATATAAAAACTCATATCATAATAAACTTGGAGTTTATTCATAATTGTACACATCATGGAGTAAACCTGAAGTTTATCTATATTGATAATTTATCCAGTTGGCATAATTGGCTTAGCCATGTTAATTCAAGTATGATGTGCAAAAATAAAAGAGAATTCACATGGGTAAATATTAAAGAACTAGAAAGTTCTTTACGAATTCTCTTACATTGCTTGTTCTCATTAATTAATAGACAATTAAAATTGGGATTGAATCCCGTGAATGCTGGAAATATCAAAGGTGAATATGGGCCCATTCACCTGCCATGTATACCACATAAGATGCATCTATGAGATGGTTACATGTGCAATTATTATTGACCCGCAACCTGGTGTTTGCGAGGTAACTTGCTCAATAATTTAATATAGAGCATAATTTTCAGATTTTTTATTCAAGATAGTTCTTCTTGATAAGTTGGTTTACATCAAAGTTGGTTTAGCAAAATGATTTATTGAGTGCCTCCACTTAATAGCTAAACTATTGCTTATGAGAACAAAGTTATCTATATCAGTTTGATATACGTTATATACGAAAGTATATTATTTTCTCCCCTCACAAGTGGTTCAGGGTCAGGAACCAATAATTCCATCTTATTATTATTGATGTGCGGTGTATAGTTTTACTAACACCATAATGCACAAAGATGGGTTCCCAAAATTGAAGAAGAAAGTTAGTTTTTCTAACATGAGGGGGAGACAAGATAAACAGTTGAGAAAAAGTTACGTGGAATGAATTATCATTTGTATATCTAGATCCTCGAATACGATAATATGAACTTGAAGTTCATAAAAAGATAATTCATCTACAATTTATTGCAAAGTATGCTAGATGCATTTGCTGACCTAAAGAAAGTAACTATATTCTCACTGGAAATGCTCCTATTAGAATAATTTCTAGAAGGAAAAAGTCTATGGTACGCTTAAAGCGTATAGACAAATCGGTTTCAAATAAAACTTCTTGATAAAGAAGATGAGCAAATGATCAAAATGATCATAATAAAGGAGGCAAGTGATCTAGAAGATCACATGACATAACACTTCATAAAATCTCATGAGAGATTCAGGTACCTGAATATATGAATGAAGAAATCTCTATGTTATGTCTTTATGAAAAATAAGGAGGTTGGAACCGATATAAAATGTTTGTCGATGACATCTATAATGATACGCGGCGCCTTCCTGAGATTCCTTGGAAGGGCGACGTACGGCTAGGCAACTGATGTCAGTCCAGTTGCTGTCCGCCAACTGAGGTCCCCTCCGTACGCTAGACGAGATTGTCAGTGCCGTACGGGAAAACCAATGTCAAGAGCAATTGAGAGAACAGAAATGAGAATTCAGAATGAAAGAAAGCTTGATTGCATTAATGAAAGCTATTACAGAAAAGCAACGCGGTGTCGAGGGGGAGAGACACCAGTACAGAGAATTGCTTGCTTGCTAGAAAGTTTTGATTGCTTGATCCCCCCTAATAATACTTAAAAAAAATAAACCAAAGTTACAGGAGTAGACCTAATTAAGCTAGAGAAACATAATGGAAAGTGCATGAAATAAACTACTCTATATTTACAATGAAAATGACTTAGTTTTCTATAAGGCAGCAGCAGGCCCGTTGTCAGCAGCAGTGTCTTTGGCATCACGGTCTGCGCGCGCGGCGCTGTTGGCTTCTGCCTGCGGCATGGCGCTCGCGAGGGATATCGGTGGGACGACAGAGGCACCTGCGCGCTTGTCACTTGGCGCGGCCAAGACCACGGGGCCGTCCGTGGCGCTAGGCATTGGGAGGTTCGCTAGGACGCCACGGGGCGCGCCCAAGGGGTCATGGGGCATGGCTGGAAAGCCGCCCATGACATTCTCCCCCACCTGAGTTGGCGACGTCCTCGGCGCCTTCCTTGCAAAATAATCTTCAATGAGGCTCTTGTAGGCTTTGAGGTTTGTTCCCCTCTCCCAAGTATTCTCTTCTGCATCACAGTCCTGCCATTTCACCAAAAATTCTTGGTGATCTTTCCTTGAGGCATGAATCACTCTGTCATCAAGGATAGCTTCAACACGCCTTTTCCCGGTTGAATTGGGACCTCGAATACTGGGTATTGTGAGCTGGCTCCTTGAAGGATCCTCCGTGTCTTCCCGAAAAGGTTTCAGGAGACTGACATGGAAGCGGGATGAATTTTCCACCAAGCTGGGGTATCCACCCGGTATGCAACCTTCCCAATACGCTTCTCAATGGACAATGGTCCAATGTATTTTTGCAATAGGCGAGGGTCATGGACCCCTGCAAATAAGTACCGCTTTGGAATTTTGACCATCACTTTNTTAAGTCCTAAGATGGACAAAGTCTATGGTACGCTTAAAGCGTATAGACAAATCGGTTTCAAATAAACTTGTTGATAAAGAAGATGAGCAAATGATCTAAATGATCATAACAAAAGGAGGCAAGTGATCTAGAAGATTACATGACATAACACTTCATAAAATCTCATGAGAGATTCAGGTACCTGAATATATGAATGAAGAAATCTCTATGTTATGTCTTTATGAAAAATAAGGAGGTTGGAACCGATATAAAATGTTTGTCGACGACATCTATGATAGCGCTAAATATATATGAGGATCTTAAGTGTGGAGAAACAATGCAAGTAGAATTTGATTTTATATGAAAGACATGTGGTTTTGAACATGTAGTTCAAACACTTGAAAGTATAAGTCAATGATATGTGCAATCAGTTTTTGATATCTTATATGTCTAGCATGACATGAAAACTTGATATGCATCTAAAGTCTACTATATGGCTTATATGACTTTAACTTATATGACAATCCATAAAGGATTTAAGTTGCTTGAAGCATATACAATTCTTGATCTTGAAGAACCACTTTCTCAGTGCAATTTGTACACATATATATCTTCCTATAACTATAAGCATGATAATATGATAGCAAGAGTTTTCACCCCTATGTGAAGATATTGAAATGATGCTTCCAACAAGATCATATGAATACAATTCATCTCTATCAAGAATAATGATTTCAAGGTGCAATATATTCATTCAAGTTAATATGGCTGATTTGTTCATCAAATCTCTACCAAAGATCTTTTGAAGATGGTGCACAAGATTGGAATGCAAATGCTTAAGGATGTGAAGTGATGCTCTCATGAGGGGGAGTTAATACGCGTTGTACTCTTTTTCCCTTACAAGGTTTTGTCCCACTGGGTTTTCCTTGCAAGGTTTTTAACGAGGCAACCGAAAGGCGCATTATTAGATATGTGTACTCTTTTTCCTTCTCTAGAATTTTTCTTCCACTGGGTTTTATTTTAGTTAAGGTTTTAACGAGGCACATTATCTGTTGGATAGACATTCAAGGGGGAGTGTTATAAGTAGAATTGTATTTATGGTGAATGTCTATATTTAGAGAGATTCTAGGGTTCATTGCTTGGTGGCTAAGTCACCCTCTCCCTAGAGGGTTCTATTCTATTGTAATTCATCCCAAATCAATAAGAATTCTCTCCCTCTACTTTTCTCTGCAATCTTCTTCTTTTATTGTTTTATAACAAGGTTAAAATTATAACGAATAATTTCTTCTTTTTAGAAAATACAAAGGATTGATTTTAAGTGCTTCGCTCTATAATAATAACTAGATGGCCGGTGCCAGAAAGGAAGTAATACTATCAAGTTGATTCAATGTGCACAACATGTTAACACTTCACAGTTTTTTCATGCATTCTGGAAAAAAGTTCTACAGGATATTCAGAATATTATGAAATATACATTGTGGGAGATGAGTTATTTGCAGCAATTCTAAATTTCAATGACTATTCCAACTTCTAAATAGCTTTTTCTCGGAGCTCTGAATCGTTTACCTTGCCTGGTCGAGAGATATTGATACAACAGTTACAAATATGATATTGGAATCTTTACAAAATCTAAAGGAAAACTTCGTACGCAGATGACATACATCTACAGTCTCTTGAATTATCACTGTTGCTGAATTGAAAGAGAAGGATGCTGTCTGAGGAAGAGTCCTTAACTAATTGATAAGTACCTGGAATTGAAAAATGATTACTCACATCCTTGAAAGATGGGGTATAGAGAACTATCACAAGAGAGAAGATATGCCTATATGTAAGCTAGAGAAGCATTTTATTCTTCCAGGATCTCACTAAACAGACATTTGTCACTTGTTATATGCTTTTCAATGGCTTTAAATGGGACAAATAGAATTTTACAGAAAACCTTTATAAACTAAGGTTTTCTAAACTCAAACACTATAAAAGATCGGAGAATGAATATTTTAGTCACAGGGGAAAAAACGGGGACCTATGAACAACCTGGATCTAAGCAATACTAAACCAACTTTCAATGTCGTATGATATTAGTGCACTCAACAGAAAACAAAATTTTCTTTAAATGATAGAAGATATTGAGTTGGTATCTTCATATATGAATTGATTCACCTTCTTCAGTGCACCAGAAATTATAAATCACGAATATACACTTTCATAATATGAATGTGAATGGTATCACTAATGCTTTATATATATATCGATAAGACTTCGGTAATCAATGTTACTTACTGGTATCACGGTAACGTTGCGCCAGCCGCAATAGTTGTGAATTCTTACTTTCCAGATACATAAACTTTAGTTTCACCTTATTCTCAATGACTACTTGATAATAGATCTAGAAACACCAATCTAGTTAATGCAAAATGCAAACTTCACTAAGATGCTTCTCAATGGCTAACTAAGTAATTTGCAGATGGAAAAGAAACAAAGAGGTAAGAACCTCAAATAATGATAATATACAACCGTCAAGACTTATCCACCAGGGTGGAATCAACATTTACTAAAATGGATGAAATATAGTAATCGCAATCTGTAGGTCTATATTTTTAAGAGTCCAACAAGAGCTTAACAAGAAAACAATTGAGATTCAAATTTCTTTCTTATAGGGCGAGAAACTGTTGCATGTGATAGAAAAGCCTCAAATCACATACTATTGTGGTTTTACCATGCCAAGATATATAAGGGTTTGATTGTCTCTGTTTTCAAATAATTTTATACCTCAGGAAAGCAATTATCATCACTGCCTCTTCAAGATTCATCTTTGAAGGAAAGATCAAACTCACCATTAAACTCTTCAGCTAAATCGAGAATTCGCTCAAGAAACAATTATTTTTCAAGAAAATATGTTCAGTCGAAAAAGTATTTCCCTAAAAAATGCAACTCACTTTAATCTTTGAGGAAAAATCAACTCAAACTCATCTCTCATGAGAAAACACCAAAATAGAATGAGACTTTAATCGTCGCATTTATACTAAATTTATAAAATAGGGAAAATGATACTTTCTGTTTTAAAAAGAAGAAAAATACAAATTACTGTGTCATTAATGACCATATTTTCTTGTATTACCAGCATAATATATTTTATCTTTTGGATCGATAGCATTTGAAGCAAAAAATCATCACATATTTGCCTATTTTAAAAATAGAAAAACTCAGGAAAAAAAATTTAAATTAGATGGTAGATCAAGAAAGATAGTCTAGTTCAAACACTTTTAGATTGAGTTCCTGATGGTAGATCATAAAAGATCCTCTAGTTCAAACACTCCTAGGCCGAGTTTCGACTGTTTGACTTTATGGTCCACCAGTCTACCTGTAACAGAGTAGTCATCTGTAATTGACTGAATAAACAGAAAAGTAGTTGTCAAGATAGGAATATGGGGTCTCTTGGATCATTTGTTCCTTTTTCTCTCTCCAAACATGCTTATTCCAATTTCTTGTTTAAACGTTGCAAACTTTATATTTGCATCTAGATAAATGAGAATTCAAATAGTTGATGACCCTGTCGGATGTCTTTTTATGAATTCATAGCCATAAAAACGTACCTTTTATTTCGAGACCACTACATCCAAGAATATACTGCATACCTTTTGTTTCGAGACCACTATATCCAAGAATATACTGCAAGGTTTTACATACGTGTGATGTAGCTACTTTGCTTCCTGAAAAGTTTCAGAAAGTATTTTAGGCTTCTTGGTTGGCAAAACAACATAAAATGAAAACAAAATGAATAAGACTTAATAGAAAACTCCTCTTTTCTGGATTTAGTAAATAACAAATCAATGTCGTGTGTAAAAGGACGTTTCTTTTTTAACGGGCAACTGATGCAGGGTAAATGGGCGATATTAGTGCATTTTTCGTGCAATAATTTTCTTATTTGTGTGTTTTATTTATTTAAGCAGCATACAAATACTCTTTGTACTCAATTATATTGTTCATACCAACTTACCTTACCTTTATTGTCTTATTTGTCAAAGAAATTCAGCTGGAAGTACATAGCAAATTGCAACTCGATACTGAGTTTGCAAATCGTGTATACATCTTTTGATGGCCACCGTACTTATCGATGTAATTCAAACTATAACTTATTACCTTTCTCCATAAACAGACCAGGTGGTGATACATACCATCTCACATCATCTTTTTCTTAAAAAAATACAAGACTGACAGAAGTTTTTCTATAGTGTTTTAACCGATGGAATGGAGGCTGAAACGATGATGAGTTGAATCATTTTTGGCTTGTCTTGTTTTGATATCTGTGTACCATATTAAGTAATGTACATTTGTAAGCATATGCATGTCATGCGCATCGTAGGAACGCCTAATAATCGACTGACTTAGCCTTAAATCAACTTTTGCTGCTTTATCAAAGTTGTAAAAAAGTAAGCAAATGGAACTGTTTGTCTGTAGTGTTTAATAGGCTAGATGTAACACCATAATAATACTAAATAAAATAAAGCTGATTATTTTTCTCTTTGTTTTAGTTACATATTTCTACACATTCTTGGAGTACAACATCTTCAAAATCTATCTCAAACTAATTATAATTCATAGATTTAGTTGTTATTCGTCTGACCCTATGTCACAAAGATCAATGTCAGCCTTATCAAACTAAAAATTATTTTGTCTTTTTGTCTTTATAACAGGTAAAAGTTTAAAAGTACGATGACAATATTAGATATCAATATTCACCCAAAATTAAAAAAGACTAAAGAGCAGAACCAACATGCATATTGAAAAATAAGAACCATGTACTTGAAAAAATCTATGATATATTGAGACACATAATTAAATGCAGCAGAATATGCTAATTCCAATATATGATTAAAACATAAAATTAAACTTGAGATTACCCGCACTACACTGTATGACAATTTTTCCGGTAGAGCAAATTTTGAGATATGAAACTTCGGCTGCTGCTTTCTAGTAACTATATTTTGCAATTGTTTTGCTTTCACCTTATAGTAAATGTAAGTGCATACACATGAGAATCAACAATTTTTTGGGGAAAATACCCACGTCAAGGACAAAGAGAAGAAACACTAAATTTGAATAAAGATCCAAAATTAAAAAATAAAATTTAATCAAAAGACCCATAAAAGGGGAAAACCATGGGGAATAGACACAACAGAGGGTATACTTAAGTTGTAAAAGAAGCTAACCATGGAGACGGCATTGTCAATAAAGTAAAAATTCGATGCATGTGGAATGATTATAACCTGCTAAATACCAGAAAAAACCAACAAATCTGAAAGAATATCAAATTAATCAAATACAAATCAACTAAAAGAAATTCCAAAACTCAGAAACTAAAATCGGAACTCACCGGCAACGGGCAGAACGGAGTGAAGCAGAATAAACTGAAGATTTCGAAAGAATGCGATTGAGCACAGAAAAAACCAAACAAGAAAAATGGAGAAGGCAAAAATGATGTAAACACAGAGAGACCCAAGAAACAAACAAGCTGAGTGTGACATAGAAGAGTAAAATTAGGAACATGATTAAAGAAAGTGGCACCTGTATAACACGTGTTTACAAATGAAATCAACAGAAATGCCTTAAATTACAAAAATGCCCTTCGTCGTACCTGAGAACCTTCACTTATTATATAGTTAAATAATATAATTATTAAGTTTTCGATGGTGCTGGTGGTGTACGGTAGAAAACAAGGTTAAAAACATCCAAGAAGTATAAATATACTTGATAAACCTATAAGCCTTCACCCTTAATGTATTATAAAATTTCTCATTAAGTTTCCATAGCCTTCTCTAAATCCGACTTCGTCTTCTTCTTGAATTTCCCACTTGTTTTAGTTATCCCATTGAATGAATCAGTAATTTCCTCATCATTTGATGTATTTCCAACTAATAATATTAGTTTTAGTCAACATATTCAGCTAACTCGAGGGCTGATTCTGGACTAGCAGTAGCTGCTTCATATGCTACTAAGTTTCTTAATATTACTTTAGAATCGGAGTTTAGTGTGATTTGAGGAAGATAAAATATGTGTTCGTCTCCTTCTTCAACAAATTTTATATCCCTTATGCCTCCTTCCGCGAGCTTCAATTTTACCTGTTCAGACATAATATAGTGCTATGTCTAACAATTTAAACTTTTAGCTGAGATGGTCGCATAGCAGTAAACATAGTATATATCAAATCAGGTCAGAGGTCGTGGGTTCAGTTTTAACTTCTAACTGAGATGGTCGCATAGTAGTCAACTTATATAGTATCAAATCAGTTAAGAGATCCTGGGTTGAAAATCACCACCACCCAAAAAACATGAAAAAAAAAATTCTACGTGTTTGGTTAATCACTACAACATTTTAGGCCTACAACCACCCTTGAGAAGTGTGGCCTAAGATGCCAAGAAGTGTGGCGTTTGGGCAAAGGCAACACTTTACGACTTTAGGCAACGTTTTTTGGGGATGGCCTAAAGTACCGTAACCTTTGACTATTGGCCACGCTTTGTAGGTGTTGCCTTAGAAGCCACGCTTTAAAAGTGTGGCCGATACGGTACAAAGGCCACACTTATATTTTCTCATATAGCCACGCTTTTATGACATAAGGCTACACTTATGAAGCGTGATCTTTGTCACGTTAAAGGCTACGTTTACAAAGTGTGGCTTCTAGAGCAACATGACAATCCCTATGGCCACCCTTTTTAAGCGTGGCGATTTTGTCTACACTACAAAATTATTTTTCAAATACTTATATTAGCCACAATTTTGTGGTTAAAAAACTATATTTGTTTGCATCAAATTCTGTTCTCACACACATATATATCTCAAGCATTAAATTAGATAATAAGTAATAGAATAAAAATAATTCAAATGCATATACTTAAAATAAATTTCAACAAAGAAACATACTTTGTGTACTGTCTATAGTAATAAAGCACTGTTGGTTCAAAAGTTCACTAGCAAAGACCTCTACAAAACCAAATGTATTCATATTTATAGAATCAATAAAAATAAACATCCCAATTGTTCAAAAGGTCTTCACCATTCACTTTAATGAATCAAATTTATTTGTGACCACCATATCCAATTGCATCACCCGTATTTTCCTACACATTCAAAATAAAATTAAAGATTAGGAAGAAACATATATATAGTATATACTGGTTAGAAATCATGATTTTGTAAGTTAAGATTGAGGTAGTTTTTGAAATTAGAAAATATAAATACCTTTTTAAGACTTGGGGCGTGAGTTGAGCCAGAAGAATGTGGTAGATTTTGGCCTCTCATAGCTCGTGCACTACTTGCATCAATTGGTGAAGGAATATTAGATCCAACACACCCTTGTATATCATGAAAATCCAGTCCAGGGTTGTTTTTCACCATTTGACTAAAAAAACATCGCATTTCTTCTCTCATCATTTCCTTCATTTCTTCCTTCAGAGAAGTTATTTCATTGGCATGCTTTTGTTTAAGCTTGGTGATTTCTTCATCTTTTTTCAGAGAGCTTGTCGTCACCGATCTACCATAGCATCTAACCCGACCAGGCTGCTCCTTTCCAAATACAGCCCTAAATGCATCATCTGCTGTTTCTCCGGAAGTTTGACGATTCTGAAGTTCAGACTGTCAAAAAATATATTATTGCACATCACTTACAAGTAAACTGCACATACTATAATCTCAACCTACAAAAAGGTAAAATCTGAAACAAACAAACTGAACCTGTTGGCAAAAGGTTTTTGCGTTTACACTGCAGCTTTTGAGTTATGAAAATTTAGGCTTTTACTTCCAAGAATGGCACAGCAAAGACATGAACTTAGGCTAGATTGGAAGATATGAAAATTCAGCTCCTTTGAACCTTTCCAAAGGTCTTGTTTCCAGCTTAGTGTTGTGCTCTTATAATAGGAATAACATCCAAATAAACTGCCTATAATTATGATCTGGATTAGTATAACTTGCAAAGCAACAATAATTCCTACAATTACTACACTAGCTATAAACAAACATTTTCTCCAAGAATTTCTTCTGAAATTCCCTTTGAAGATACTTGTCTGTTCAATGTGAATGCACAATAGCAAATTCTATTATCTCTGTAGAAAGGTTAGAACAATACATGAGACTACCTAGTGAAGCAACTGAAGTAGCCCAAAGTAATCACACTTTACCTGGTTGGCCTACACGTGGCAAAGTAGAAATTCGCGACCTAAAGGTATGGTTTCAGTTGCAGGAATCGTTAATTAGTTCATGAAAGCGTCTGATCTCTTTTAAGTTTGTTCTAAAACAGGTGAGGTACAGGCCAAATGCTCTATTAGTTCTTCAAGGTATAAGCTGTACATTTGAAGGGGGACAAAAGATTGGAGTTGTAGGCAGAACAGGCAGTGGGAAAACAACTCTTATCAGTGCATTGTTTCGCCTCGTTGAACCTGCAGATGGAAAGATCATCATTGATGACCGCAATATTTCAACAATTAGGCTTCATGATCTTAGGTCGCGTATTAGAATTATTCCACAAGATCCTACGCTCTTTACAGGTTTTGTTAGATACAACTTAGATTCCTTGTCAGAATATTGTGATGATCAAATGTGGAAGGTAACTTTCATATAAAGCTAATCTAATTGTTAATAAGGATTTGATAATTGTTTCTAATTTACTTATACAATTTTCTTGTTGAAGGTTCTTGAGAAATGTCAGCTTAGAGAGGCTGTTCAAGAAAAAAAAATAGGACTAGATTCCTCAGGTACAGATCAAAATGTAGATCATCAATATAAGATCATATAGCCAATTTTATTGGTTTTTGTACTAGAAGATAACAATAGTACTATGAGCAAAATGCAGTTTTACAAGATGGATCAAACTGGAGCATGGGACAGCGACAATTATTCTGTCTCGGACGTGCCCTGTTGAAGAGGAGTAGAATTCTAGTACTAGATGAAGCCACTGCATCCATTGACAATGCAACAGATGCAATTCTACAGAAAATAATCAGACTAGAATTCGCGGACTGCACGGTTATAACAGTAGCCCATAGAATTCCAAGCTAAAACACACACACACACACACACAGAGAAACTCGAACATAATAACAAAGCTCATCATTTTTATTTTATATACTCAACTACAGCCATATCTTCACTACAACAAAATCAAACTTGTAGAGACAATACAGACATCAAACAGCAAGAACAAGAAAAAAAAAGAAAGATAATAGCAGAAACAGTTATTAGCTGGTTGCAAAAATACCATGAAAATTAAGTCCTTCTGACGCTAAAAATCCTTTTCAAGCAATTCATAAAAGCCAAACAGCAAATACAATAACAAGACTTAACTTGCAGCATGACTTACTATTGCAACTTGAGTATCTGTATGAACTTCCTTCCCTTTCTTTGTACGAGTTGTAATAAACATTTCAGACTTTGATGGTTCCTCGTTGTTCTCTTTGGTTGCGCGCTACAAATTATATCAAAGAAGATATAAAAAAGATATCACTTTGTTCCGACAAAGTACAAAAAGAAATAAAAGTAAGATTACAAAGTGTCGACTAAATATTACCAATGCCACACACTCTTGCAAAATTAATAGGTCCCATTCGATGCCTCCACTTTTGTTTTTTCCTAGTTTTCTGAATTCAATTGGCACATAGCCTAACAACAAAGGAAGCATATTAATTAATAAATCAAAAAGGAAAAATATATACTAAACAATAGGTAGAAAATGTAGAAATGCACGGTTTAATCTTACTTGGACATGTTCGTCATCCGAATACTCAATCAATTGACGGAACTGAACTTCAGGTATCTCATCGGACGATTTTGTAGCATTTTTCAATAGTAGCATTTTTATCAAAATATTTCTTCTTAATATTCATCTTGTGTCGCTTCCAAACATCACGAGAAGCAGCCCACTTCTCTCCTTCAGCTGGAATTAAGAACTTGGACTGTGCAAACAACACACACCACACACCACACACACACACACACACACACACACACACCACACACACCACACATATATATATATATATATATATATATATCTTTTCTTAGTAGGAAAAATACAAAAAATATATAATTGAAAAATTGATTATTCTTACATTGACATATTCCCACATTCGTCGCTTAATATCCTTTGACACAGCATGCCAACTAGTATTCACCAAGGGGATAAATCTTGGATTCCTTGCAATTGTTCCTAAAAAGTTGGTCAAATCAGATACTCTCTTGTCAGTTGGTCCAACTGCTTGTCCTTTATCAAATGTCACCTCCTCTCTTTCTTCAAAACTTCTTGCATGAATATTCTTGCATGTTGTTTTTCCTCGAACTCTTTTCTTCTCTGATGTCCCGAGATTGATAAAACAAGCCAGACATAAGAATAAAAAATCAAAATATGTAAAATAATTATAAGGTTTAAGACATACCACCTGCAGTACCATCGATGTTCATATCCTCATCTCCAATAAATTCATCGTCACCAACTTCATCTTGTGCAGCAAAATTATCTAATTCTATTTCACGCTCATCAATAATAGGAGAGGACATAAATCTAACTTCATTTTCTAGGTGATTATCAGGATGTTTTTCACCACCGACTTGTATCCCATATTTTTTTAGAAACTGATTAACACTCGTCGACGGTAGGACTGAGTTTGTCTTTACCTTTTTGCAATTTTGTAGCTCTTGAATATCAAGTTGTTTCTCTCCTTCACCATGTGTTCTTCTAAGCATATGTAAAGTGTTAGGATCTACCTTTGCAGATGATTGGATCATGGATGTGGGCACAGGTAATTTACTCATTCCTTGCTTTTGAATGGGCTTCTCCAATTGAATTGACATTTGTTTAATTTGTCCTTTACTTGCAATATTATGTGAAGTGTTCAGATCTTCCCTTGAAGTTGAACATCACCAGGAGAAAATGGGAATACGTGCAGATGGCAGCTGAAAGTCGATATCCAAGGCAAGACAAACACATATGCAGGGGAACATCACCAGGAGAAACGACAACCAAAGGAATCACGAGCTAAACATAGAAGAACACCCAACAAATATGGAAAAAATATACATGCCAGGGCAAACTTATTTTGGGTAGTAAACATTTGGCACTATGAACATAAGGAGGGAAAATGTATAGAAATTGTACTCGATGCAGCAGCTTTACTGGAACACTGGCAATGGAATTCTATAAAGAGAAGAGACTACACACGCGAGGACAAACTGGAAAATGACAGGACCAATTACTCAAAACAAGTTGTGATGAAAAGTGATACTAGGATCATTGGATGCAGCAGCGGAGGCACGATTGATACATCACTATGTCAATAAAGTAAGATTGAAGAATACTCGCAAATTGGAAGACATTACATGGCTATTTTTGATTTACAAGTTACTTTCTCCTATTAGAATGCATAATGTAATATCAACATTGACTTCAACATTCAATATTGATAATAGGAATTATGTATTTGTCAATGTTTACTTCTTTCATCATGTAAGGCCTCCGGACATGTTGTATTTCTTCTTTAATTTAAATATATATAAAAATTAGCCCTAGGCAATTGCCTAGCGGTTTGCCAAAAAAAAACTAGCTATTTATGATTTCATCAACTCTAAAGAAGAAACTCAAGAACTAGCCATATTCTGAAATTACTAAAAGAAAGCTTTGGACATAAAGGGAACCATTTATCCTGACAACTTGAAGTCATCTTTAACAAGTTCCTATTAGTAACTCTTGATACAATGCAAACTCTATTAAATGCAACTAGGAATTAAAAATTTGGTCTGCACTTTCCCAAATGGTTATGCATGTTAAACATCTCCTTGAGCTTATAATATTTCCCAAACTGGAAACCAATCTTCTCTCGGAGGTATAAAATTTACTACGTATTCTCAAGATCTGATTTTTGTAAGATAGAATAGTTACTATTCTCTTTCTTCCAGGTTTAGCCAAATATCTAATCTCTTAATTTCTTTTTTTGTTTTGTTTGAAAATCTTCTTTAAGATACTTTCTTCCTCTTAAATATTACTTATAAGCTATATTCCTGAAGAATAACTGAAAAATGTTTGAAGAGTGTTCATACACAAACTTTTAGTAGAAAAACTCATCTATATTTTTGTGGATTCAATGCAATTAAACTTGTCCAAATACTGGCATCTCTCTTGTTGAACGCTTGATGTAGTCCTTATGCCTATGGCCTTGCCATACTAACATGAGAGATTCATATCTGTAATCAATTAGCAAGTCATATATGAACTCTATGATTCAAAATAACTAAACTTAGTAACCTAAATTGATTTTAACCATTCAGTCATTTAAACAGAACATTACCATTACAAACAACCCAAAAATAGGAATAAACAGAGCTCTTCAGTCCAAAATTACTTCAAAGAACATAATATATTAATATATAATAGCTAAAGTTAGCAGCTTGCAGAACAATAACAAGTTAGGACATACTGGGAACATAAGTAGAATAAATTTTTAGGTGTTCATTCATGGATCACAATTGAATCATGGATGAGAATAGGCACAACAAACACAATTTCGAGGTGTTGGGCGGTGTTTTCACAACAGATAATCACAACTGTGTTATTGCAAATGCACTGTAATACCAGTTGTGTCTCGAATCATGTTTCACTTCTATCGGCCCCAAAAAAATTCAATAAGAAGCTAGATAAATTAAAACTTTTAAGTATAAGAAGGAACATCAATCAAAGATAACTAAAATCAAATAGTAAAGATTACTCCTTTTCAACCCAAGAATGTGAATTTAGTAAAAACAACTAAAACTTATACCCAGAAATTAAACAAAATAAAATTACTTCTTTTCAGCCCAAGAATCTAAAATTAGAAAAAAATTAAACACATTGAGTATAAACTGAAGACTATACCAACATACCCATGTATATACATCATAGAAGATTATTTTTTCATCAGAAATCGAATTTTTTTTTTACAGAAAACCTTTGAGTAAAAGAAATACTAACCAATAGAGAAAGGATGGAGATTTGCTATAGTGAAGGAGCAGCTCCAGCAGCGGCGGAAAACAAAGCGCAACAAAAAGTTAGGGCAAGGAGGAAAAGAACGCTGGGAATCGTTCTGGATGGAGAAGTAACAAAGCGCAACAAAAAGTTAGGGCAAGGAGGAAAAGAACGCTGGGAATCGTTCTGGATGGAGGAGTATGTTTTAATTACTTTGCCTTTTGAGTATTGGGTGGGGAGGAGGGAAATATTTTCGTTATTTGGGGGGAAATTTTAAGAGAAATTTTTATAATAAATTTTTAGGTTACGCTTATAAAGTGTTAAGTTTGGTATTAGAATATAACAACGCTTCAAAAACGTTATCTTTATCATTAATAAGCGTTGCCAAATAATTTGTAAACTGGCAACACCTAAGAAGTGTTGTTTTTATATTATAAGAGCACGCTTTTTAAGTGTGGCCTTTAAAAACGTGGCCAAATACTCTAGTCAAAGATCACGCTTCAAAAGCTCATCTATAGCTACTTTTGGCAATACTTTTCGAGTGTTATCTATAATTAGTGTGCTATAGGGCAAAAATGTCGTAGTGAATAAAAAAGAATTAGTCCCACATGTAGAATTAAGTAGGCAAAATACCTTAATATTCCCCTAAACTTGACACAGATTATTAGTTACAGCCTTAAACTATTCGTGGTCTTAATTATTCCCTTCAACTTGGACTTTTGAGAGCCACTACCCCCTGAACGCTGATGTGGCAAAAGGTGTGGGTGCACTGGCCTGCCACGTGATTTTTTTTGTATATGTGGCATTTTTTTAAAAAATAAAATATATTTTACCTTTTTAAGAATGTTACCTTTTTAGATAATTTTTTCGAATACAATTTATAATAAAACTTGGATAGAACTACATTATTTAGGATAAATTTTTTATCTAGCTAAAAATAATAAAGTTGTAGTTAATCTTTTTTTGAATTTGACCTAAAAATAATGATTTATACAATTGAATAAATAGTCAAGGCATCTAAAAAGTTATAAAAAATATATATTTTGAAATTAATTATTTTGGCTATAATTTTTTATATAGCTCTAAATTACGGTGCTCTAAAAATATTTTATTTTACAGATTTTACCTGAAAAGCAAAAATACACAGTTGAAATAAATAATCTTTCTTAAAAAGGTAAAAATATATTTTATTTTTCAAAAAAATATTACATATACAGAAAAATTCACGTGGCAGGCGAGTGCACCCACACTCTTTGCCACATCAGCGTCCAGGCGGTAATGGCTCTCAAAAGGCCAAGTTGAGGGGGGTAATTAAGATCACGAATAGTTTAAGGCTGTAACTAATAATCCGTATCAAGTTTAGGGGGTTTTTAAGGTATTTTGCCAATTAAGTATATAACTAAAAGTATGATATCTTTGATTTCTACCTCTGTTTCATTTAATGTGGGACTCGTTATTAATCCGTTCGAAAATGAA